AAGCTCAAACTATAGTTTCAGGCAAGATACACGAACGAGGAAAAATTTCTTTAATAAAGAAAAACAAAGTGTCTGTTTTATAACAAGAAACAAAATATCTCAGCTAATCCTTAGGCCTTATCGATTTCGCAGGAAATCCCTGTAATAGTCTCACAAAGCTGACTGCTGCCTTTCTCCACGATTCTTGTGTTACAGCAGCTTACAATTGAAATAAGCCACAAATTTCTGTGTAACGTATGACCCGATGGAGTTACTCTTACAGTCTTGTCTCACTCGACAAGGCCGTGTAGGAAAAAGACGCAATTAAAACAATAACATAATGAACCCGAATATTTGCCCAGTAAAGTACACTTTTAGATGCGTTTAAAAGAAAATGTCACTCACTAATGCCTTCCAACGATAATAGTGACTTGTATAGTGTCCCATTTAACAGCCTGAACAAATGCAACACTTTGTATCACAAAGTGTTCTGACAGCTCTAGCCAATTTAGAAATTTGTAACAAATGCCATTCCTGTCATCGCGTGCTTCGATGTACCAATGAGGAGGCGTTGTGTTACGTCAAAGAGGAAAGCGAGACAGCATCTAATTGGTAGTGATTGACATCGCCTAGAGTTACTTATCTAGTGGTGTGGCCCATAAACATCAGTCTGCTCATTTCCTCGTACCATTTACTTCATTTAGCTGACTTTCAAAAGTCAATTCGCAAAGCAAGAGTTTCGACGCATCATCACAACCGAAGGCCGGAGTAGAAAGACCATGCTCCATTCGCCAAACGTGACAGCACCTTTTACAGTCCGCAATCTTTTAAATTTACCAGAATACAATCCGGTAAGTTACAAAGAAGCTGGTCCAGTCGAATGCTTGACACACATGACTTCGGTCCACGTTATGCCAAACAAGAATGAGGAAAATGCAAACAACGGGCTGCCATTACACGAAAATCATCATCCGAACTTCATATATCCAGAAACGCCGAGATCGATGTACCTAAAGAACGACGTAAACCACCATGCGAATCTAAGCGGATCGCACGCTCATATTCTCGAGCCCCCGTGCCCTCCAGGTAAGCATTTAAGTCTTGTGTATTTTAGATTTTAGAAATCATATTTGATTTTCCCATTTCGAAGCCTGTCCGTAATTATAATCAAATCTTGGAACACAAAGTAGGGGGAGGGAAATTGTTTCAAGTGTCTTAAAAGAGCAACACCATTGAAAGGTTAAGACATTTCTTGGATCCGTTATGATTTTTCGCGAGAAGCCGATTTATATCCGACTATTTGACCGTTCGCGCCTAAATTTCATGAGCGATATTAACGATTCGGCCGTCAACGAAATTCACGCAAAATCACTGAAGAAGAAAGCGTTCGACAACTCACGTCATTCACTTATGCGAAAATATTTACCATTTGAAATCTTCTGGGCGTGGAAGTCTTTCACTACGTTAATTACCACAGTAACCCCTCAGGCTAAATGCTTTATAGTGATGGTGTTGTTGATAGTTTTCGTTTTGTCTTGACAAACGATTTTTTTCCTGTACGCTTACAGTGTCAATGGAATCACAGTTAAACAACAAGTCAGAAAGCCAAGAGATCACTCAAGAGCTTCAGCATACACAACACACTTCGCCTAACGCCAACGAGATGCATCATCAAGTCACAAATCCCAGCTTAGCCACAACCGAAGTGCCCAACAAACAGAAACGTATACGACGGAAACCACGAGTCCTGTTCTCTCAAGCGCAAGTCTACGAGCTAGAAAGGCGATTCAAGCAACAAAAGTATCTATCGGCACCCGAGAGAGATCACCTTGCAAGCATGTTAAAACTTACATCCAACCAAGTAAAGATCTGGTTCCAGAATAAACGCTACAAATGCAAGAAGCAAGCGCTTGAAAACAAAGCGCGGACGGCCGGTATGGAATCTTGGTATGGCCTGCCGCCAGAACCTCGTAGAGTAGCCGTGCCTGTTCTCGTACGAGATGGCGAACCGTGCTTGGGAAGGGAACCTTATGGTTTAAATATGAACATGAATATGAACATGAACTTCGCCCCGCATTACATGAACATGTACCCACCACCGCAGAACAACCATTTAGCAAACAGAACATGGTAACTGTAAAGTCTAACTTCGCGATAATCTAAGAAACAAGCATTTCCTATGACATTGCAAAGCAGGACAAGAATGAACAACTCTTATCAATGACATTAAACAGAGACGCGAGATATTTAAAATTTTCTGGTGAAAGTAGAGGAAAGATACGAGTTACATTAGCCAGAAAATATTCTAGAAAGCAAAGAAAACAATAATATTTAGACGATATTTTTAAGAAAAAATGCCGGCTACCTTTATCGTGTAAATTAAGAAAAGGTAAGAAATGTTAATAATTATTGATAAGTAAGAGTTAAACACTGTACCAAAAGCATACATCCAATCGCTCCATGTACACATTTTGTAAATTTCGTTTATGTAAGCCTGTTGTGTGAGGCGCTAAGTTTGCCACCTTGCACTGATAAATTTCACACGGAAAGAGGGTGTAATATTTCAACAGAGATATATTTCCCACAGACGAAGTCAAAGCATAAATTTATAAATAGGAAAAATAGACGAATTAAGATATGTTGGGCGTCATAAGCAAAATACACGTGCGACACTGGCAAATTTAATATCGGATGAACACGAACATAATATAGATCTGAAGTTGACATCATTTCACAATATTGAACATTCGTTTAAGAAAGAATTAATTCAAGAAAACTTAAAATACCACAGAAAAGTAACTATCAACAAGATATTTTCTTCTTCTTTTCCTTTTTTTTTGAAAGATAGCAGTTCTAACTTCGTGCCTTCTCATATCTATTTTTCATAAGTGAGGACCAGCTTTGGAATTAGGCTGTCAAAACCTATGTGTGAATTTTGGCGATATCTTGATGATGAGTCCAAGATAAGCAATCAAGTAACTGAGAACTTGTCACAGCGTAACTCGTGCGTGCATGGTTTTAATGTTCACCTCGAGATACAAGAATAATTAACGATAAAAGCAGACAGAAGTTGCTTTGAACAGGAACACCGCGAGTATAAAGATAGCTTTTAAAGTAATTACATTCACTAGAAGTTAATTGGCGATTTATAGTACACACATTGTGAAAAGAAGCCAAGACCAACAAGAGATTCAAAACACAAGGCTATTATATTATGTCCATTAAGATATATATGTTCCGTGTCTCAAATATGAAGATGAAGCCAGTGTTTTTAAATCTGCTGGCTTATGTCAGCTGTTACAAAAAAAAACGGGTCATCCTTTCGTACTATTGACGCAAATATTTTTATTTTTGGTTTATTTCAACTAGTTCTTTTTAAACGAATAAAATTTTAAACCGAAAGGACCACTGTTACGGGCTCTTGGACGTCTTTTAATTTTGCATGGGTTAAATGGATTGCTCTCCTTCATGTAAAATTTTTATTTGTCAAGTATGCCAGCAACTAAAGGAGGATATTCCAAAAGAAAGCCGAAATTATAACAAGCAATATTCCATTAGTTAAAACACACATTTCAAAAACATACCAGCCGGTAATTAAGTCAATTCTAACTAGTTGCAGTAAAAAGAAATAACGGGCTATTTATTTACAACAAAAATGTAAATTTTGTGATTAATTTTCACATTTCCCTCATAGAAATCTAGTTAATTTTGGTTCCGCAATCGATCCTGTTTAAATATCACAAAGAAGAAGGGAAAGTAATGTAACACCAGATGAATTGTCGGGGAACAACTTTGTGGCAAAAAAAGATTGTCAACATAAACTGACAATATACGGTGAGAAAAAATTAACTCGAGACAAAAGAAAAAAGTTTTTGTCATTGAAGTGAATGAACCGGTTTTTAATTTCTCCGAAAATTTCCCAAGTGTGAACAAACAGGTCAAAAAAAGACATTAGGCTAAAAACTCAATATGAACTCCGTGGACCACAGTAATCGCATTAGTTAACAGAAGTTGATGGCTGTCATGAGCTTCGCGTTAATGATGTCGATTTCACATCCTTGAAAGCAATCCACACTCAAGTAAAAAACCTTTTAAATGCCTAAATATTGTCATTTCAATTGCCTGTGTTCTTTTGAAAGCACTTCCTTCACTTTAAGTTTCCGTTGAGAGGTAAAACGAGATCGGAATAAAAATCTGCTCTGGCGAGCCTTTGTATGGAAATGTCTTAAAGTGCATGTAAACGTTGTCAACAAAGGATTCGCAGCAGATGGCGCGTTCCCTATTGTTCGGCCGTCAATCACTGCAATCATTAAGCGACATTACCTGACAATAGTAAAATAATAAACGAATTAACACGTATGCAGAATCGGCACAATGATTGGCATGAGGTGAGAAGTCATTATCGACTAAATAGCCCTCCACAAGCAGACTCACAAAACAAAACTGTCAGTGCCACCCATCTAGACCTTACCCAAGCAAGCTGTCAGTCATGTGCTCTTTGCCTTTGGTCACTTTTCGAGCTTTAACAGGTTATAATGTTGGATAAAAGTGAGAATTCAGGCGTTCACTTAAGAGAAAAATACCCACACTATTGCCCTGAACGGTTGTACAATTTTTTTAATCACATCTCGTGAAACGAACACCAAAATAGATTAACCTCCTCGGACTTCCACCCTGTTATCTCTGTAAACAAGGAATGTTTTGAAAAGCTCGCTGTAATTTGCACCCACTCTTCATGATTCTATCACATCTTGATGCTTCCTTCGCTCGGAAGACCCCGATCCTTGCGTAATTGAGAGGCCGTGTGTTCTTAATTGCATTGTGTCAACGCTCTTTAACAGAATGTCAACAAACTACGTAAATGAAGCAAGTAGCCAATAAGAATGCCTGATTAGCTTGATTTTCTCATCAACAGCCTCTAGGTGATACGTGGACATCGACCAATCGTCGATTAATGTTCAATTTTGATTTCTTATCGCTGAATAATGATATTGTGAAAAATTCCTGTAGGTCTCCAAGTACTGTTTTTAGGGTTCACATCTACGGGTGGTATCCTATTTCTGTTTCGGTCATCAGCGTGAGTCCTGAACGCCAACATCGCAATCATCTCTTCTCAACGTTGTTGCGTGTCCAATTTTAAACTAAGGAATATGAACGAAGCAATCAGAAATCCTGTTACACCGTTCTCGATCACCGATATTTTGAATCGTAATGATGTCCCACAGCAGAATAACAGCAGCCTTCCTTCTTGGAGTCAGCACCCTGCCCACACTCATCCCGTGTCGCCGACATATTTGCCATTACCGTACTTTCAAAGCGCTTTACCCATCCATCAGCTGAGCTGCTACAAAACATTCACTGCCTCGCAAGTTCCTACAGCATTGCCCTCACTTAGTAGAGAACGAAAACCTGAAGAAATCGCAGAGCGAGCAGAAGAAATAGCGAAAGTTCACAGTAAGTCACACAGTTACCGTTCACAATTTAAAATTCACTTTTACAGACCGAGTTAATTTGTGTCAATTAGACTATTCTCAATTAAGCAATTGCACATGTTCTGATTTACAGCTTTTTGTTTCTTCATTACAGAAAACCAAGAAAGAGATGTCAACCACACCTCGACTTCCAACCCTCAACAGCAGGCCAAACCGCGAAAGAAGCGATCAAGAGCGGCCTTCTCTCACGCTCAAGTATTCGAGTTAGAAAGACGGTTCAGCCATCAAAAATATTTATCTGGACCTGAGAGAGCAGAGCTTGCTGCTGCTTTAAAACTGACTGAGACACAGGTTAAAATCTGGTTTCAGAACAGGAGATACAAAACAAAACGACGTCAGCTCGCATCAGAAATTTGCCCTCCGAGTGCGGCGAAGAAAGTCGCGGTACGAGTTTTGGTTCGGGATGATCACAAACAGTATGAAGACATAGGATTATCGGGTCTATCAATGGCGCCATTTGGCAGTCAAACCTTCGCTCCCCCTTGTGGTTTTTACTACAGATGAATTCAAGATTACTAAATCACGTCCCAAATGCAACAACAAACAGACCCTTCAAACCAAACCCTGCGAACACGAAGACAGTGACACTCAAAGAGTACCATTCAAACAATTTAATCGCTGCCGTCCTCGATGGCTCAATCCCGAAACAATTCTGCTTTAACACCAAATAGCGGCAAAAAGGTAAAAAGATTAGCGGAGGATAACGTTTTAACTCCTAGCTACGGAAGTAAATCACTTGCGTCCGGTGAATTACATGGAGTGGTCTACTCTCTCAAAGTTTACTCACATCATCGAAATTAGATTGCGCGAGTGTTAGGCTCTTAATTACCTTTAATCCAAGATTAAGATTAACGAGAGTGTATGATAGTGTTCAGATTGAGTGGGAGACTGAAAAAAATTCCCAAAAGAAACAATTATAGGCCTTAAGTTGAAGCAACGGTTATTGGTAGATATCGAAAGGGAATAGGGACATGAACTATATTTCAATTTTGTACCGACAATAGCACTAAACTCAACCGCGTACCAAAGTACGCTACTTTGATTTCTATAGCATCACTGTAGCTAAAAACCATCTAAGTAATATTTTCCCTAACTTTTTTAACATCACAAATAGCGAAAAAATTCACCGAATTAGGTCGGAGAGCGCATAAGAAAGACATGGTCGCCAGTGATAAACAAATACACATCCTTGAAAGAAGAGTCAGCCGATTTTTATTTCATTGATTCCTACGCGTAGAAATGTTAAGTCGCGACGAGCTGAAATACAGTCACAAGTAATTCGGGAGCCGCAACTTTATGCAGCACAAATAGAAAGTATAAAAAGGTCCGGGTGACATGTTTGTCCACATCTCTTTTGAATTACTTCAGCTTTAATTGATGCCTGGAGTTTCACATCCGAGAGCGCTTTGTTAACTCTCGATGGTGCGCAAGAATTTAACGGTCGAAATCATTGCATTTTTTCGATTGAGTCATTTACCGAGAGTGAGATAGAGCGATAGATAAGTATCACAGCGACACCCGAAATACAATTACAGTCGACTGAATTTGATTACAGTGCATCGTTCATCAACTACAAAGATACTCATTAGTGCTCATTACAAGGGCTTTTATTCTGGGGCTTAATGTGATTGTAAAACACTTCTTTAATACTCATTTAGGTGCCCCTCCCACGACACCATTTGAACGACAAGATGATTCGTTTATGCCACGCTTAATGGATCTCGTTTAACATGTCATTCTCACGGATAGGATTCCCTTCACTTCCAAACTCAAGCAAAAAGCTTGAGGAAATTTAAAGAGACACTTCAGGGCAGTTAGATGGCCGACGGAAGTGTGAAACCGAAGACAAAGCCATCTGTTAAATCCATTACCAACATACGAGTCTAAATGCGTTGGTCTAGGTACTTGAATAAACTTTAATGGAAGTTAAATTTTCATGAATAGCTAAAGCCCGTTTTAGTTTCTTCAATGTTAGCATTTCTTTTCTCGGATGCCATGGTTTCCTGTTTGCTAAAGTCGCACTAAGAATGGCACATCGTTTGAAGGTGTTAATGGCCATTTATATTATCATCGCATCGCTTTGTGTGGAGTGTTCTATTTAGAGATGTGTGTTTAATATGAGAAAATCAATTCCCAGTAATAACAGGCTTTACTTTTGTAATCGTTTTCATCAAATGGTAGGCGACTGGAAGGCTTAACTTTCATAGACCATCACTTGAGTTTATTGTAAGCTTACTTTGCTCCCAAGATGCGGGGGATTTGAGACCCTTCATTTTCGCACGCGACAGATCCTGATCCTCGATCAGTTCCCTCTGTCATAACAAACTAAATTCGTCTAAAGCCACAAAATAAAATGGCTTCTCCGGTTTCAGCTCCCAAGAGATAATGTACTGTCAAGGAGTAAAAACATAAAAGAAAACATTTCGAGCAAACAAAAACATTTTAGCTTAAAAAAAATATGTCGGGTTATCAGTGAAAGTACTAGGCGGTGGCATAACCTGAGCGCTCTTGGCGTTATAAGATTATTTCATGGCGTCCAACTACTCATCTTATACTTCATCTCAATAACTACAGCGTGCGACCCACTTAAGAGGATGAAAGAAACTTATAATTCAATTTGGTTGCACAAGTTTAATACACCTCTTTAAGCCGAAAAAAATGTATGTTTATCTCTGATCTTAACAGTAATGTAAAGCTAACAGCCGGTTGCAATCCTCGTCATTTACTGCTATTGAAATATCGTACTTCATTTTTTCCTTCTCAAACACAAAACAAATTGAAAGCGAGGAGATGATTACATTATGCTTTTATGCTTTTGTGCTGTAACTCACTCTTTCTCCGGATGGTAGAGAGGCACGTGGTATTAAAACGGAACATACTAATGTCATCATTGACAGCCTGCGGTAGAAAAAACTAAATGAGGAATTACAGCTAAATTTCCATGCGGTTCATTTCAAAAAGGCGAAATGTGAAAAGAACCACCAGTAAAATACTGTGATTAATCTTGATGAGAAAGCTAAAATATAACAAGAGGACAGCCTCTACCAAACCTCCAATTTGTGTACTCACTAAAAAAAGACTCTCATGCAAGTATAGAACAACCAAACAAAAACAAAAGCTCGCACTAAGTGCCAGCTAGACAAAGCCCCTTTTCTAAATGGAACAACTGAACAGACAACAACCTAGAATGAGCATTTACTCGCTCAATAGAGGCCATTAACGACCACCACTAATTGTGCAAAGGTGTGAGAATGGCGGGTTTTGTTTATTACACCTTTAACTACCGAATTTACTTTCAAGAAGTATTGCTTGAAATTAAATGAAGCGGAGATCGCATTAAACCGCTTTTCAGTCCTGTTCAAATGCGTCTCGTTACAATTCTTCCGTCAAAGGAAATCGCGTAAACCGTGATTGCGGCATATTGGGTTTCCTTGGCGTTCGCGACGCTTTTTTTTTCTTTTTTTAACTTTTCAGGAGAGAATCGTAGAGCGAGAGAAATAAATAAAAATATTCGTAATGAGTCTTATGGGTACACAAGGCGCCTTACCGGCTGTGAGCAGTTTATCAACCAAATGTACATCTTAACAGATAATGATGTCAGGCAAAAATACAAAGCTATCCTTTTTATTACTTCATTGAAACGGAATGCTTGTTCAACGCTTATGTCCTTGTCTTTTCACGCAATTTCGATAAAATAGCACAGGTACATATCAAAGAAAATACAGGCAAGCATCGACACAAATCGGCAGCTCAGAGAAAGTACTAACAAAAGACTAGCTGATAACCTAAACACCCTCCCACTGCTTGTATACAAAGTACTTTTACGCCGTTTCTGCTTCTGGTGGTCCATTGTTTATAGAAGTTTTAAGTTAAAACTCTGATGCTTTTCTTTGAGTTTTATTTCAATTTCTTTCGCAACATGCTTAATTCCTTTGCGAAAAGCTAGAACTACAAGATTCCCATATCAATTGGCCTAAACAACATGAAATAATTTAATAATCTTTCCAATCTGAAAGTTTCAGTTTGTAGCACTTTCACGTTCGTTCTACTTCTATTGGATGAAAGAAACAAAATTTTGCATGGAAATGAGCGACGACAGTTCATCCTAAGCTAGGCAAAGTAAAGAGAATGCCACAAGGATCCGAAAATCCCAAATCCGTTATTCATAGAGAGATAAATTTCTTCAAGTGAAAATGAAAACTACATCGATTATTCAGATGTGGTGTTATCAACCCACAGAGATAAAACCAGTCGGATTCGTCAAACAGGCAGTTGTATTACTCTTCGATATGTGCCACAAATACTAACTTACAATTACAATCATGTGTAAATAAATTACAGACCTTTTAGCAAAGTGTGGAGCATAAAGAATACAGGGAAGACCTGAAGTTTTTTTTTGGTTCCTTTACTTTCAACCTATTATCTCTTGAATCTTGGAGGAATAATGTTACTCAAAGCAAAGGAAATCATTCTTCTACTCAGCGGCGAGGAGGGAGCTAGGTTTTCTCGAGTTATTACTACCGTAAAAAAAAAAAAACAAAAAACAACTGTTGTTAAGTTTGAAGTGAATAAATTGGTGAATAGTGTCATTCCACATGGGAATATTGAGATGAGACCGCATAAAACTGTTTCCCTCAAAGTGATAAATAGAAGTTACAAATGAGCTCTAACGGAAATACAGTTATCACCGAGAATATCATAATATAACATAATTCGAAAATCATCAGTAAAAACATTAGTGCATAAATCAAACAGAAACCCACAAATAGAAGAGACAACGACAAAATTTCAAAAGCATTTTTCAACTGATATATTACGTTTGACCTGGTGTTTTCATCGAGAGAGTTCTTTCTTTTTCAGCAAAACAAGTTACAAATGGAAATATCATCACGGCAGTTCCGAACTACTTTGCTGATAGAGGCCGCTTCTTTTATGGAAAATACTTTTTTAATTGTCCTAAAATCTAAAAGCACTTGATATAAATTGATTCATTGTAAATTACGCTGCAATTTCGTATTTATTTATGCAAAACAGACATAATGTCGATCCTTATATATTTATAAGGCGATCGAATCGGTGATGTTTTCACAGTAATGCACAAAAAAAAAATATAAAGGAAGAGTATAATTCGTAACATTAACTCGTCTGAGCGTTTCACACATAAAGTTTTGCACCATAACTATCTAGCAATTAACTTGAAGACCTTTTAAATACGAAATTTAACTAGTCTACGTAACATGACACCAGGGGAAAATTCAACTAAGATTCTTCTGACATTTGAATAGTTCTGTTCTTGTCAGTCAGTAGGTTGCTTTAGCTTATTCACTCGCCAATGACGAAAGTGTTAAAAAAAAAAAGAAAGAGAGAGAGAGAAAGGGAGAGAGAGAGAGAGAGAGAGAGAGAGAGGGAGAAAAGGGGAAAACACGCATACAAAATTGGCAATAACCCGGTTTTTGAACCTTGTCGTGTATATTAATACTGCTTGAGTTAATAAGGCTTTTTGGACGATTTTTTGTTTTTGTTTGGTCTCTACAGGAACTATGCATGTCCTGTGCACGCAGTTAAGGTAAAGAAAACGGATACGTATTATTTAAGTCCACATTAACCTATGATCCTATAAACAGTACTGGGAACATACTCCGAGTGATTGTGCACTCTTCGTAAACACGAAGAATCGGCTTCTACGATAAAAGAAAACAACGAAGCACATCAAGATGAAAATAACTCAACAACTAGGACGCTGTTTCCTAACTAAAAAATCCTCCGATAGTTTTTCAACACCCCACCTAAATCTAAAAAATAAGTCACACAGGCCCTTTGTCTGAAATTTCTGGAGTATATTTTAAAAGCGCGCATCTGAAGTTGACTGACCTTTGTTCGCCAAAACAGTTCCCAGCATCAAAGAAACTTGCAGAATGTTATGCCTCGTGCGACTTGCGCCTTACGCTACCACCAACAGAGAAGATAAACTGCCTAAAGACTAAACGAAACTACCCATCTCAAGCCTACTAAGCCCGATCCAGATAATTTGGACAAGCGTATGAACACTAACAATACAGTGCAAAGTATTTGAACGTTTTACTCCGTAGACATCTTTAAAGAGATTGTGAGTGTGAAAGATAACCTAAAAAAAAATAGAAGTAGCGCAATACTTCACACTTACTTTAGACGATTATTTACACTTACTTATATTTTAAAGCAACGAAGAGCTCCTTTTCTTCTGTACAAACAAATCATACACGGCATCGCACTTTAAAAGTGCTCAAACGTTCATTTAAGGGTTCGTTGTTCGAATATTGAAGTGACAGATTCTCAAATGACATCAAAGTAGAGAATTCCTCTTGCCACTATTTAGCCGAGCAATTTGCACTTGAACTACCTAACCTACTAAAAGAGGAAGAAATAACACAAGCAAAATCGAAAGTACCATAGGTGCTGATGGACTTATCACCGCATCAATTAAAGTCGCCTCCTGAGATTACCGCCTTGGAACCTTTTGACCTGACAAACATGAGTGATGTCAGGCAAAATAGAGTGAAATAACGAACTCCATGACAGCTCAAGTAAGAAAAAGATTTATCTGCACTGCAAAGCACATTGGATACCGAAACACAACATCTTAAATAACAATTTCACTCTAACTTTAGTTTTCACTCAGTAACGCATCCAGCTTCAACCACGTTTTGGTCACGCTAGCACGTTATGTAGTTTTGATTGCTCTGCGATTAGCATTTTTAGCACAGCAAGTAAGCCCTAAACCAAAAGAGACGTCAGCAAAAGCCAAACAAGTTAAAACAAAATCAAAATCATCAGAATCAAAAAGGAAGTTTGTGTGGTACATAAAAGCATTTATATTCCTCATAATAGCGCACATTCAATTCTGCCCAAGCTTTGCAACTTAATCACGCTATAAGCGTGGCGATAAGCGAAGACCGATGGCCACTTTTATAATTTCACTAGAAAATAACGATCTGTGGTTACAATAATCAATTGAACTTCCTTACTTAGATAAACATAAATGATTGCTATCAAAAGGAAAGAAAACTGAGTAGGAAAGACCAGGTCACAGGTGTCCGTATAGTTAAGAGATACTGGAGTTCTTTCGACTTATCCAAAATATCTACATAAAAAATTAGAAATTTACGTTAACCATCTACGATGAAAATTACATGTTTGATAAGATACCATAATTATTAATTTTGAATAACCCGAACCATATCAGTTCTGTCGATATTATATGAGGAAAATGAAATTAACCTTTGCACTTGAGTGGTAGCCTTTTACTCTAAGTCTTCCTTGCTAGCTATCGACCCGTTTTCCGTTTTCTGAGGCGACCAAAACGACAACGAGGCCATCCGCTATTGCAGTTGCTAAGTCCACTTTCAAGACCTTTACTCATGCATGCAAACTCTACATTTAGACCAAGTAGAGTAAATTTCATCGTATTAATTTCCTTCCTTTTCTTAAAGTCCAAAGATAGTTTAAGATTCTCGCGAGACAAGAATGGTTAAAATGAGCAAAATCACACGTAACGGTTTTAAAATCATTTCACATTATTACCAATTTAAACGATCGACTGAAATTTCACATAGCAAAGTTTGAGTCTTGTCAGGTATGGAAATTTCTAACCCCAACAGGTTAGGAAAT